CAAACGCTGTTTATCACTAAGAAATGCCTTGCTATGACGGAGGTCAACCATTAGTTTACGCCTACTTCCATTATGTATAAGACCTGACCCCTGACCTCTTCTAACAATTTCCGCCAGCCGCAGCAAGCAACACCTCATCCTGACCCCAGCCTGCTGCCGGCGAGCATGGCGACCACAAGCTGGTCCTCTGGAGCACCCCTCACCAACCAGCCTTCTACATCACGCCTAGTAAATCACGCCGCCAATGTATAATGTATTTTAGGCAAATAGAGACCAGAACGACTCAGTTTATCTATTTCATGGGGAAAATTGATTCGGCTAACGTTGTTTTGTAACGTCGCGTTTTACGAATGAACTAGACATTAAACATGACTTACTGTACCTGCCTTTTATATCCCCACAATTTTAATGGCTTACTATTAATAACACAGGCTGATTAAATCCATTATTAGGATAATGTACTGCATCTATACAGTTTATTGCAACAGCACCTCAAAAATTATCTGCCAGGGTGGTCCGACAACTTGGAAAGTTACATGCAACCGGTGATGTGCCGAGGATGTTTACTCTCTGGTATACTGATCCCATTACATCTGGTAACCTCAGTAAATATACATTGTATTTAATAGATTAAACCATATGCAGTACTAAAGTAAATGTACGTCCTCAATATCTATCATCCATGGTCCGTTAATGTTTTTACATAGTGCAGACAGAGAAAATGTATACATTATATGCAATCATAGAGCATAAATGTCACTGTATTTATTTTATAGACAAAGTTTGCAAAGTCTACTAGCTTCATACAAGTCTCCATGGCAATAAATTATATAACAATTTATTCATAACATACATAGATTAAAAATAGCACAGTAATAAAATATTTATATTAATCCAGCAGGTTGCTACCATTGGTCCTTACACCAATACTCCCTGCACAATAATTTATAGTATCAATAGAGTATGATACAGCAAAATTGTTAAATACGTAACTGGAAACGGAAATATTACCG